GAAAACTGCTGCTGTACAAAACCTTTTTATAGTCTGAAAACTGCTGCTGTACAAAACCTTTTTATAGTCTGAAAACTGCTGCTGTACAAAACCTTTTTATATTCTGAAAACTGCTGCTGTACAAAACTTTTTTATAGTCTGAAAACTGCTGCTATACAAAACTTTTTGATAGTCTAAAAACTGCTGCTATACTTTTACCTTCAGGATAGTAGACTATCCTGTAAACTGTGAACTTTGTGTTCTTTCTTAGAGAACGAACTTTCTGTTTGAGTGCAAGTTTTTGTTTGTTTTCTTTTTCAAAACATAGATTAATCCACAGGCTTGTAACTAGAGTATTCTATTTTGTTGAGCATAAACTTTTGTGTATTATTTTTAAGAGTAGGTTATATTGTATAGTGTAGACTTTTGTTTACTCTGCTTTCAAAAACGAACTCTTTGTAGAGTATACGCCATTGTGTGTTTTTGTTTATCAAATAGTGGACTATCCTGCAGTGTGTAAGCTGATGCGTTTGTTTTTGAAGAGGGGACTATTCTGCAGAGTGTAAGTTGATATGTGTGTTTTGTTTTTCAAAGAATGGACTATCCTACAGAGCGTAAGCTGATATGTGTGTGTTTTTATTTTTCAAATAGTGGACTATCCTGCAGTGTGTAAATTGGTATGTATGTTTTGTTTTTCAAAGAATGGACTATCCTACAGAGTGTAAGCTGATATGTGTGTGTTTTTGTTTTTCAAATAGTGGACTATCCTGCAGTGTGTAAGTTGATATGTGTGTTTTGTTTTTCAAAGAATGAACTATCCTACACAGTGTAAGCTGATATGTGTTTTTGTTTTTCAAATAGTGGACTATCCTGCAGAGTGTAAGCTGATATGTGTTTTTGTTTTTCAAAGAATGGACTATCCTACAGAGTGTAAGCTGATATGTGTGTTTTTGTTTTTCAAAGAATGGACTATCCTATAGAGTGTAAGCTGATATGTGTTTTTGTTTTTGAAATAGTGGACTATCCTGCAGTGTGTAAGTTGATGTGTGTTTTTGAAAGAGTGGACTATCCTACAGAGTGTAAGCTGATATGTGTGTGTTTTGTTTTTCAAATAGTGGACTATCCTGCAGTGTGTAAGTTGATGTGTTTTTTGAAAGAGTGGACTATCCTACAGTGTGTAAGTTGATGTGTTTTTTGAAAGAGTGGACTATCCTACAGTGTGTAAGTTGATATGTGTGTTTTTGTTTTTCAAATAGTGGACTATTCTGTTGTGTGTAAGTTGATATGCATATTTTGTTTTTCAAAGAATGGACTATCCTACAGAGTGTAAGCTGATATGTGTGTTTTTGTTTTTCAAATAGTGGACTATTCTGCAGAGTGTAAGTTGATATGTATGTTTTGTTTTTCAAAGAATGGACTATCCTTCAATGTCTAAGTTGTGTTTATTTGATGCTTTTGAAAGAGTGATTATTGTACAAGTTGTAACTTTGGTTTCTCAGAGTAGAATGTTCTGTAGAGGAGTGTAATCATCGAGAGGGCAGAAACTCCACGATACTGTTGTAGGACATCAGAACCTTTTATCGTTGTGTTGATCATCCATACCTATTGTTAAATCATAATTGAAAACAGAGAATGATAGACGATCACAAACATTTTGTTTCATTGTAAATATGAGTTGTTTACATCTAGGAACAGAATAGGATGATGTATTGGAAGTATCACTCACAGTTTGCAACTTCATAATTTACATCCTTTTCAATAAAGATACCATCCCTATTGCATATTGTACAGTGGAGAGGTGTCTGAGTGAAGGCCATGTGGTTAGGGCATTCGACTCGCAATCTGAGGGTCGTGGGTTCAAATACCCGTTCCACCAAACATGCTCGCCCTTTCAGTCGTGAGGGCGTTCTAATGTGACAGTCAATCCCACTATTCGTTTGGTAAAAGAGTAGCCCAAGAGTTGGCGGTGGGTGGTGATGACTAGCTGCCTTCCCTCTAGTCTTACACTGCTAAATTAGGGACAGCTAGAGCAGATAGCCATAGTGTAGCTTTGCACGAAATTCAAAACAAACAAACAATCTGAGTGAAGACATCTTGAATCATTGGCATAGGCTGCCAATCCATATAGCTGCTCTTCATCTTTGTGCCTTCAATTACATATGGCATATCGTGTACTATTATGCCATGTTGAACCCTCTGCGACTTCAGATGTGACAGTTTCTGGTCTCATAACTGGTTCTGTAACCATTCTGTTTAGATTCCAAAGAAGTTGAGTAGCCTGATCCTGAACCTACTTTTTTCAGTCCCATATCTGGCAGAATCATTCTGAAGAACCTCCATTCAGTTGTGGTGAAGTTCCTGCATGTTGGTGGGTTTGGTTCATTGACTTCAGATTATAACCAGTTTCCCCAATGGAGTGGTTAAACACTCCTTTACTGTCTTGGGTAGGCCTTTTCCTACGTACTTTCTCATAAAGGAACTGCATGTATGTTTTTCATAAGAAACAGGCACAACTTATTAAGGGCAGTGATCTTTTCTGGATTGGGGTTTTATCAATACTTCCTTCGCTTTGGTTGATAAATACCTTATGGCACCCATCTGTTGGCATAGTCCTGTGACAGTATTCTTATGACTAACAGTTGATACTACCAGCAACAATAATAGTGTACGTGACTTTCTAATACTCTGCTTTAATTTTCTAATAAAACTTGGCTCTGTAATATCTTACTAGAGCCTTACAAGATTGTTCATCTATTTTACAATCCAGATTTCAAAGAGCATACGAAGTTATAGAACAAGAATTGTAGCTTCTTCGGTGACTTGTTAAGACTCGTACACCTTAAGTTGGATGACAGTGCATGAAACAAACGAGTTATTGAGTATTCTTAAGTTATGATCTACTCTCTTTAAAGATAGTTTCAATAACAATAGTGATTAAGGTGTTTATTTTGCACACACAGAAAAGTAGAAGGGGGTCAAAATTCGACAAAGTATATAGAGTTGTGCTATTTCACAAATTCTTATCTAACTACACAAAATCAAATATTTGGCCAGTAAGCTATACTCTTTCTGAAAGTTCTACAATAACTAAAAACCATTTCCGGCAATGGTGGTACTGTGAGTACTCGTCCAACCTTCAAGAGTTTTAACTAGTTATCGTTGTTTATGCACTTGTTAATAAATAGAATTTTCATAACTCAACAAAACATTTCAATTTATACAAAAAATTTTAGAAAATTACACAACAAACCTGTTGGAAGTTCAAATAAAAACAAAACATGCTTATTGCACGTGCATTTTCTCTAAAAATGTAACATTCTTTTTAGCTTGAAACAACATAAAAATACTCAGATAATTTTTACATGAAAATTGTGATTTAAAACTTTTGCACAATATATGTTTTATTTTACATTTTAAAGCATACAGAAAAAATTAAAGAGGTCAACATTCGCGGGCGAATGCAACATGTCTCCGTCACGCAATTCCAATAAGGCCAACAACATGTCTCCGCCACGCAATTCCAATAAGGCCAACAACATGTTTCCGCCACGCAATTCCAATAAGGCCAACAACATGTCTCCGCCACGCAATCTCAATAAGGCCAATTTTGACACCAGAAAATTAAAGAAAAATCTAAAACTGTGTATATCACTGCTTGGGACCTGCGAGAAGCTATATTTGTACCAAAGTTCTTGTAAGTTGGTTGATATACACGTGAATAGTTCACGAAAACTCAAAATTGTACTTTCCTCTAAAAAATTGGGCAAAAGACAAAAATTCCAAAGTTGTCTATATATCTACTTGGGATTTGTAAGGAGTATCTTTTTTACCAAATTGATCGAAAAAAGGTAATTGACCAAAACCTCAATAATTATGGGTTTATTTAACCTTTTGTCTCTCCTCCTAAAAATGGGCATACCCCACATTTTGTATATACAGGACATCAAACAAGCAAAAGAAAAGGTTCTCCAACCATAGGAGACTATGCGCGTGGATACATCTACGGAACCGTAAAAACTCATAAACAGAACAGCCCTCTACGGCCAATCATATCAC